CAAAATCACCTTATATAAACGGCAAAAGTCAACAGGCTTTTCAAAGTCCAAAATATTGCCAAACAGGCGCTTTTGCATCTCGTTTCGAAACTAAATCATCCGCGATCGTCTTGTCTGTCTCACCTCACTCTTCTTGTCAGTCGGCTCGACTCACTCTCCTCACTGGAGAAATGAAATCTGATCTGTGATGCGACTGTCGTTCGGCACACTGCATTGAGTAGCCGCGTTCAGTTTTTAATTGTAGTGTCTGTTCTTTTACTGAACTAAATGATTTTTATTACTATAAAAAATCAAAACGACGGTGGGGGTCGGTGACGCGGTGGGCAAGTGACGTAACCGGTGTTGCGGCTTAACAACGGTATCACCGTCAACACCGTCTATCGCGGCAAGCCTATACCCCTGAGAGAAGAGCAGATTAGACACGCAGACCTCTCTTTACTTCACAACACTAATTCCTGCTCTAAGCTGACGTTTACTTATGTTCTTGACTTGTAGGATTGCAGTTTAAAAGGGACCATTTACAGCTGTGCAACAATCACAGTTGGTCCTTCTATTTTAAATAGCAAAGCATTTGTACACTAATCAGCTGTGCTAGTTTTAAGTTGCAAAAGAACAGAACAAAAAGCATTGAGAGATTTGATGCAACCGTCTTGCAAAGCTAGAATTTTGATATATACGACCTATTGATTTACACAGTGTTTAGACAACTTCATCTCTGCAGGTTTAACATGCATTTGTGAATGCAGCGTTCACTTCCTTCACTTTATTTACACATTCACATAATTTACAACTTTTTGTGGACAGAAGTTTACAGCATTTCACCGATATTCCGCCAAAATAAAAGCTTGAGGATTTTAAATATGAAACACTCAAGGGTTTGAACGTTTGAATGTGAAGAATTTGAAAATATATTAGTATTATAACTTGAAATGCAAAACAAAATCATTATAGTAAATAACACACTTCACGTTATGTAAGATTAAATAAAGAGATTAAATATTTCATGTTTACTTGCATGTCATGCGACCACTAACCAACATCCGAGAACCGCAAACATGAGAATATGTCTTTGCAACTGTTTTGATATTTTGATATATAGAAAAATCACCTCATTCTGACCTACTATATGTTTAGGTGCAACTCTGAAACTGAATATAATTGTGACCCTGGACCACAAAACCAGTCATAAGGGTCAATTTGAAATCTGAAAGCTGAATAAATAAGCTTTCCATTGATGTATGGTTTGTTAGGATAGGACAATATTTGGTCGAGATACAACTATTTGAAAATCTGGAATCTGAGGGTGCAAAAAAATCAAAATATTGAGAAAATCATCTTTAAAGTTGTCCAAATGAAGTTCTTAGCAATGCATATTACTAATCAAAAATTAAGTTTTGATATATTTACGGTAGGAAATTTACAAAATATCTTCATGGAATATGATCTTTACTTAATATCCTAATGATTTGTTTTTGGCATAAAAGAAAAATCGATAATTTTGACCCATACAATGTATTTTTGGCTGTTGCTACAAATATACCCCAGCGACTTAAGACTGCTTTTGTGCTCCAGGGTCACAATTATGAAAACAAAGCAGATTATGCAGGTTTGCACAAAGACATTTCATTGACTTGCTACCAAATGTCTCCGGTCGCTCCTAATTATGCAGCACAAAACAGTGAAAAACGTTCCTCTGGTTAATAAAGGAACCGTCTGTTTTCTTGCATCAGTGACAATGAATAGAGAACGAGGATAATTATTTATGAAGTGCGTGATTAACTACTCCTTCAGATTGCACTCTTGAACTCTAGAAACACTTAAAAGAGGTGCGCCTTTCCAAATCAATTTCCAGGATTTGATGTGTCCTGCACAGAACGAATGAGGCGGCAAGAGCATCCCAACAGGTCATGGGTTCAGATCCCCTGGCTCTCGTCTAATTAAATCCCCACAGACCAAAACATCCCGAGAGGCAGACAGAGCCGATCCTCGAGCGCCAGACGAGCCAAGCGCAAGATTTAATTATTGTGTGAGATGTAACAATCAGTGCAGAGCTGTTCGGCCCTCACTAGCGCCAGTTTATGGACTCGAGCAGATGGCACGACCTCTGGTGTAACACTGCGGGGAGATAAATCAAAGCGATCAGGGTGTGTGTGTGTGTGTGTGTGTGTGTGTGAGGAACAATGAGTGAAAAATGGGAACATTACATCCAGAAACATGCACGAGTGCAGACGGTGCTGCTTGACAACGCATTATAAGCTTACAGTCATGCATTATTTAATTAAAAAACAAAAATAACCTCAGTGCTCGAGGGGGCGATAGAGCTTCCTTCAAATGTCAAATGTGCTGTAAGTGTTTGCATTCACAAACATGTCTTGTTTAGGTTTAAAGGGGTCATATGATGCTTTTTTAAAGATCATTATTTGGTGTATTTGGTGTAACAGAATATGTTGACATGCTTTAATGTTCAAAAAACACATTATTTTTCAAATACTGTACATTATTGTAGGTCCTCTATGCCCCGCCTCTCTCAAACGCTTCGTTTTCTACAAAGCCCCCTCCTTCCAAAGAGAAAGGAAAACTTGAAATCGCATCATATGACCCCTTTAAAGGAACTAAAAGAAAAGCACAGTTTTGATAAAGTACTCAAGGGTTTCATAAACGGAGGCTTGTAAGCCGATGAAGAGCTAATTAAGTATTTTGAAGGATATGGCTTGTTTGTCATTTCAGAGTGAAGCGCAGCACTGTGTTTATTTACACGCGAGCAGCTTGTGATCCAGTGTTTTCAGCGTCTCGCGAGTTTTATATGCGTTTGTGAATGCAACGTTGTTTTATTTACTCATTCACATAAATTTACAACATTTCTGTGGACAGAAGTTTACAGCACCTCGTTGTTATTCCACCAAAATAAAAGCTTGAAATGTTAAAAGTTCAAGGGTTTGAGCGTTTATAAGTGAAGAATTTAAAACATAAATATTAGTATTGTATATTGTAGCATACAATAAAAATGATTATCATGAACTATTAGTTTTTTTATTTTGTCTTAATTTTTATAATTAGCATTAAAAGTATTATTATTATTATTGTTATTACTACTACTACTACTTAATTTGATTGGGTTCCTAAAACAGTGTAAATAACTAACAACAACAGCAATAATAATAATAATAATAAATATTATTATTATTTTAATAATAATAATAATTATTCAACTTTATTGGGTTCCTAAAACACCAGAACCTATTGTGGACTTCACAAATATCACAACTGAAAAGAGGATTGAGTCCACTTTAAATTCCAGCTAGAAAGTCAAAATAAAAGCACTTACTAAAAAAAATTAAAAAAAGATTAAATATTTATGTTTACTAATAAATCATGTGACCATTAACTGACATTAAAGAACTCTGAACAATTGTGTTGTTAAATTATTGAAATATTACATAACGCAAAATATCAAGGGAACTGCATGTAAATATTTTATGTCTAAGTGGTTTGGCTGACAAAAATGTTTGGGAACCTCTAGTTTACACTAATACTGACATTCAAGTCAGTTTAAGTTTGCCTAAAGCATTTGTAGAGTGCCAGATAAATACAGAGATGAACAGAAAAATGCAGCATCCACTAGAACACAAAAAGAGGAAAAGAAGAACTGACGGCAGCATCAGTGATGAAAGAGGCATCGAGCTGTCGCTGCGCCGTCACTGATATCCACTTACACACCCGCCGTCTGAGCAGCGAGAGACGCCCTGCACTCACCCGCGGGGGTTCAGCTGCGCCGCTCTGTGTCTGCATGCACGTGTTTATGGGGTTATTGAATCTGCTGCTGGGAAGGAGCATCTGTAACAGACCGATAGTCAAGGCCCTTTCTCAAGAGCATTTAATTATTCCTTCAGCGGCCCCTGAGCAACCAGCCATCCACCGCAAGTCTGAGAATAAAATTCAACAATAAAAAAAAAGTGTTTATGGGTATGTCTGCAATGACGCACTGCATACTTGTTTTGCATAGTATTCAGCTCTTTTATTTGCATCTAAATTAAGCAAAAAGCAAAAATCTGCAGTATACGACTGAACATCCCACAATGCAAAGTGCTCAACCTTTCAACGTTATATAAATGACTTCAAAAACAGATGTGCAAATTTTAACATCTTTGACTCATTAATCAGTCGAACCAAAAATAAGGACATTTTACACATAATAATAATAACCATATATATATGTATAATTTTAAAAATAAAATTATATACTGTAAATATAATTATAAATATATAAATATTTATCATTAAATTATAAATTTTTATTACAAGTATACATTATATATATATATATATATATATACAGTGGGTACGGAAAGTATTCAGACCCCCTTAA